ACAAATCAAAATAAATGACTTATTGACAAGTGTTGTAAGAAAGCAAAACCAAATGTAATTTTTCATCGAGATACGTGATAAGTTTCAAATCATCCATCTATTATTATTTGTATTGACATTGTTGAGGTTACTTTTGTTGTTGTCGTGTTTTGCTAAATATATATTTGCCTAAAAGCATTGACACTTCACTTCACATTTGATTTATTAATGGCGAGAGTCCTTTGTTTTGTTGTGTTCGATTTTGTGAAGTTCATTACTTCACACCATGTGTTTTTCCTTATCGGTGCAGAATGTGTGACATTTAATTTATTTCTTTTACCTATTTACATTGACCTTTGTCCCAAACCCATTGAGGTTTAATGTTTGTCCCCTACTTTGAACAAGGATTTGTTTTTATATCGTCCTTGACATATTTTTCTTCACATTTAGTCGAGATATCGTTAAAACATGACATTTGATCGCTTTGACAAATGAATGGTTTACAATCTACAAATTTTTGGTATTGGAATTGGAAAATTAAAAACAAAAACCTTGTTCGGAGATATGCTTTCAATTTAAGCGCTAACCATAAAATATGTAAAAAAGTTGACCTTCTTTGATAGCAAAGATTTCTTTACTAGATCTTCATTTTTCAGAGTCACTGTAATCACATTGTAATTGAAGTGCTAGTTGCATTCCAAAACCTTGATCTATAGAGAAAATCTTTTTGCAAATATGTGTTAACCTGAAAAAAAAGTAAGGAAAGGTCAAAAGTTGGGCGGGGCCGACAATATGATACCCTACACCACTACCCGTACATGGTTGCCCATATTCGACGGACCTTTGGGCCCATTCCAATCGACGAGGCTTGTCCGCAGGCAACATTCTTTGCGTCCGTTGAATTTTGTACGGGAACAAATACAAATCAATGCGAATAATCCGTTGTAAAGTGGACCGAGCCATGCCCAACTGCTGAGAACGGCGTTTTTGGGATGTTCTTGGGGACCAACACTGGCTCGTACGGCAGCTATATTCTCGGCCGATCGCCTTGGTCGACTTTTATATGGCCTCTTCGGATTAGAAAGAGCCTTACCAGTCGAAAATTTTTCGTATAAACGCTTAATGGTGTTCTTAGAAGGCGCACTTCTCACATTTTTTAATGTTTTAAAAGCACGTTGAGTTTTCACAATTGACTTCTTCTGTTGAATGTAAATTTCAGAGCGCTCGCGTGGCGTGTATTGGTTCATGGTAAAAATCTGCTTGGACTGACGCTTCAAACGCGGTATGTCATTAAGCGATGTGACATCTCTGTCAAAAGTTATGGCGTTGCCAGATGGGTCCGTCGAATATGGGCAACCCTGTATTTACTAGAGCTGCCGTAACAAAAAGTTTATATTTGGGATTTGTGTAAATAAGCCTATACCAACTATGAACCTTATTTGAATACTTATCATGGCTCTAGAAAATCCTATTAAAGTTTCCGCTATGTTACATTAAAACATATTGCTATGTTACGATATGGTGTCATAACATATATTTCGACTCCCAATTGAGTCAATTCTACAATGAAATGTCCCTTTTTATTACATACCGTTGTATTCAACCACCACGTTTCTGTCAAAATCTCTTATTTTTTGTCTAGGTTTAGGACTTTTTCGACTAATGTATTGTTTGTTGGAAGTGTAACTCATATACGTCAGAATTTCTGACAGACCATCTATGATTATATCTCAAGAAAATATTTGCATTAATGTTGCCATAAACCAGTAAAGCAACTTCAAAAGTCGGGCTGAGCCAACTATATGATACCCTTTATCACTATGCGTATTTAGTAGAGCTCCCGTAACATAAAAAGTTTATATTACGAATTTATGTGAAGCAACGCATATCAAATATGAACCTTAGTTGAATGCGTATCATGGCTTCAGAGTAGTCACAATTTGGGAACTATATCCAACTTTGAATCGATTTTCAACAAATTTGACGAAGGGTTTTGTATCTCTAGTATCAAATAACATTTCTGTATAGTGCATGATTATATTAAAAAAATATTTACTTTATCAGTAGATGTATGTCGAAGCTATAAAAAATCTAAACCGATCTCAATAAAACTTGGCAGGAGTATTCTCGAGCTGTATCTGATGACCCGTATTGAATATCATTGTTGTGGAGTACATATTACGCATGTGAGGGACTTTCACACCTAATCGGATGAAGCATATATATATCTAAATCTGAACCGATTTTCACCAAACTTTGAAGTACTTGCTTCTGTGCTGAATTCCCTCGGAATTCAGGTCATTCGGAATGATATTGGCTATTTGGAGCACAATTAACCCGAAATCGGTTGGATATATATAGGAGCTAAATCTAAATTTGTCGTAGGCTGTAGTACCTATTCCGAATTTTAAATACGAAATTTGATTTGATAAAATCATTAAAATACCGAATATTGAGAGGTATGTTTATATGGGGGCTATACGGGCCGGCATAATCCATTTACGAAGTTAACCTGCCTACTGGCAAAATACACATGTATACATAATTTCATTTCGTCTCAATCTGTTTCAGAAATACCGTGATTACAACAGACAGGCAGACAGAACTTTACGCTGATCAGATTATGAAAGTAGAGCTAAAAAATAAGACACTTGTATCGGTGTTTTGAAAGTTTACATCGAAAAGTAACCAAAAAAGAGGGGGACAAGTTCCCCCCTCTTCAACACTTTTGTGCATTTTCGGATTAAGATTCCTCGGAATCCGTGCAGTTTTGTTATAAAGTATCTTCGGCAAAACTGCAGATAAGAATACGATGTCCTTGGTCCTTTTTTAAAAATATGGTAAACAACTACCTTTAAACGGAATCGTATTAAATCAAAATATTCTACAAAATTGTTTGCAATAAAATTCTTGTCTAATTCTATTCAAAACTATTTGCTGGTCCCAAAACTATATACTGGGCCTAGGAAATTAGAACTTCTTTCGGGTTTTGATTTAAAAACGGGTATTATCAAGTCTACTTGGCATTTTCAACAACTCAGATTGGCTATTGTACAGTGAAATTATAAGAAAATTTCATGACAAATAATTTTGTAGAATATTTTGACTTGCTACGATTCCGTTTAAAGGGACTTTTAACTATATTTTTTAAAAAGGACTAAAAAGACCCCTTTGTTGACTCGCTTGAGCATTAAATTTTTATACTAAATATTTTTTCGTATTTTGATGTGCAATATTGAGAAGCAACTATACAGGGTAAGATAAAAAAAATGCGATAAAGACAATCGCCATAATTTTTATTTATTTTAATTTCATTGAATGAAAAAAAAAAAAAATCGGAAATAGCATCAACGTTTAGAATAAGTTGAGATTGGTTCGAATTGGTCACCTTTGGCGCGTGCTGAGTGCGATGGTGCTGAGTCCTGTTTGAATGTACATGGTCTGCGGCCAAAATGTTTGCGTGGCCAAGGCTTTAATACACACTCCAGAATATTTTCGCCATAATATTCGGCATTTTCGCCATAATATTTCGATTACGGTCACCTTGGCCGGCGCTTGAGTTCTGGTGACCAACCGAAGGTGCACATTTTCAGCTGAGACCTTTGCCAAGTAAACACGATCATTTTGTTTCTTTACAAACTGCTGGACAACCAATGTTTTCTCATCGGAGAAAACCAAATTGGGTAGTTCACTACTTTCGGCCAAGCGAAGCAACTCTTTAGCTCTTTTGAGTCTATTTTCTTTCTGTTGCGTTGAAAGTTCGTGCACTTTTTGGAATTTGTAATATTGCGATATGTTCAGCTCACGAGCCATTTTTCGTCCACGGCGACGCTTCTTTACTTTTCGAAACATTTCTGCTGATGTTACTGTTTTCTTCCGTCCACTTCCTTGACGTCGGGCTTCGCTATCAGCTTCGCTTGGTTTTCAGCCAAATATAACGAAATCACACTATCACGCTTGAATACCACCACTAATAACTTTTTTCTGGAAATAATGATTTTTGCGAAATATTTAGACCTGCCAAAAGAGAACGTGTTTATAACTCGTCCGCTAGTTAAACTTTTAATTGAAATAATCATTGTATTGTTGTTGTCGGTGATACTATATATCTAAAATACAAGGATTGCAGGGAATTTTTTATGGAACAATTTGAAAAAAGTGGAAGAGGGGAAGTTTACCTGCCCTATTTTCGGTTACTTTGTTATGTAAACTTTCCAAACGCTAATACACGTGTCTAGTTTCAAACGCTACTGTGTTTTTATTGAGAGTTTTTCACAGAGCCCTATGTAAATTTCTTTCTGTAGGCTGATTGATTCAATATAAATTGTTTGAAATACCTATGCTTACTTTATGAATTATTAATTATACATATTCCTTGGAATTGTATAAAACATTCCCTATCCTAATAGATTCTTATTTATTATATTGCACTACGTGTTTCCTATTTGCTTCGATGTGTGTTCTATGTTCCTGAATTTGATTTATTTTTCTCTCTCTCTCTCTCTCTCTCAACAAATCAAATTCCACTTCCACTTAATCTTCCCGGTAGTCTTTGTAGTGACCGAAATCAATCAAATCCATTTGAAAAACCATTTATCATTCGTCAATATGTTTCGATATGCATCATGCGACACCGAAGTCAAAGAACAACTTCTCGATTTGGAGATGTGTCAACCCCAATCGAAAGAAAAATAAATAACAAATGATAAAACGTAGAATAATATTTTCCCCACTCCAAACTAAGGGCTAAAGAAATGCATTTTCATCATTTAACTTTCGAAATGTGATTTTCCATATTTTCCCCTACAAATTTCAACATTACTGTGCGACATCGTGATGTTGTTGTTGTTGTATCCCTTTCCTTTCTGCCACAATATCCGCATAGCAATACAATGGAAAATTCTCTTGCAGCTTGTCACAAAGCAAAATGTCAACATCGTATCAGGGTTACAGCAAAAACAAGTTTTACACAAAGGAATGCATTTTTGTTTGTTTTTGTTTATATGTTTTATTGAACTTACCGATCAACAGCTATTGCCACGAGATGCAATATGGATGCCGTGCAACATAATACATCAATCGATGTCCAAATGTCACACAATTCCGGTCCCAATATCCATCCTTGACTTATCTGTTGTTGTGTCATATATTTTTTGTTGTTTTTTTTTTTTTTTTTTTTTTCATTATTATTTTTTTGTTTCATAAAAGTAAATATGCATGTGAAGAGATATGGAAAGAAATACGGAAGAAAGAGGTGGAAAAGAAAACGAAAAATTAATTAAGCAAAAAACAAAAAGTAATGGCTGCAATTTTCGTTTGGTGTACAACATTTCATTGAGTTTTCTTTCGTTTTAAAGAAATAATATTCGAACACGGCTATAATTGACTTCGTGGAAAGCAAATGTTTGTGTGTCACAAGGATGACCATTAATATGAAAATATCTGAACGATGTAAAAGATAATCATCGTCGTTTCGAAGGTCACTGAAAGTTAAACGATTTTATAAAGTAAAATAATTATTATTAAAAATATTTCTTTAATGATTTACCTGAATGATAGTTGGAGAATTTTCAATATATTATTGAATACCAAAGTCGTGGAACATAAACTAGTTCTGAGGCATATGCTTCTTTTATTATTATACCATTGAAATATTGGTCCTAGGTATAAAAATGTTAAATATGGATCTTCCAATGTGGCCGTGTTGAGTCGATCTAACTGCATGTGTCCGACCGTACATCTGTCCATGTTAAATTGTTATCACTCAACAGGTCACAATTATTGCCCTATCCTCACGCCATTTCGCACGAAGGTAGGGGTAGACAAAGAATAGAAGACTTTTGTTGAGGGAAATGATCGAAAACATGATGAAAACATTAAACAAAAAAGAAAAAAATCTCGATTTTGCAGTAGTTCTGAAGATCACACATGTGGACCAATCGGGCTGATCATCGAACAATATTTAGAGGTGAAATATACCATAATTTTTATATAAACAAGTAAATTAGTATCAGTCGGTTTTGCCGACAGATGTATACCCCAGCCTTGAGTTATGAACGTGACAGATTTGGACTATATCCACTACTTGTACTTTATATGAGATATGTGCAAATTTTCGGAAAATGGAAATATACGTCAGGTAACAGATAAGGAGGACTGAAGTACTCCATTTTCATACTTCATCTAATACAGATAAAAAATATTGGTATGTACAAAATTTGAAGGAAATCCAACATTCGTATCCAATTTTATGCGAAATCATAAATTCCGACAAATTACATATTCATATCAGAATACTGGTTGAGAGAAATATTTAGATATAGCAAGTTGTAAATAATCGCCGACTTGTTTCGCAAGTTATGACAGATATAAGTATTGGAAATTGTGACCCTTTGTGGGTGAGGTACCAGAAGGGGATGGCAGATGTATATCATTTTCACAACAGATCTTGGGGAGGTACCAAAAGAAATGGTCCGATCTCTACTGTTAATTTTGCATTTTATGAGCTTCATGGATACTCAAAATGTTGACCCCTTGTGGGGGAGGTACCAGAAGGATTGGACCGACCAATACATCCCATCTTCACACCAGATCATGAGTCAGTAGAAACAATGGGACGTGTGTAATATAAAGACAACCAATGTTTATTTCGGATTCTTTGATCGTTTTGTTTATTCAAAACCTAGATCCTTTGTGTGGGAGGTACCAGAAGGACTGGACCGATATATTCCATCTTAACGCCAGACCTTGGGTTCATAAAAATATTGGGATGTGTGAAATTTGAACATACTCGGACCCTTACATCTTTATAAGAGTTGAAATTATTTAAAATGTCGATCTTTTGTGGGGGAGGTACTTGATGGAGTGGACCGATATTATCCATTTTTCACCTGACCTAGAACTGTCGTAAATATTAGGATTTGCAAAGTTAGAACAAAATCGGATTATCAATTCTCTTTCTGTGCAGAAAAAAAAAACATTTTTTTGAAAATTTCGACCATTTGTGGGGGTGGTACCAGAAGGAGTGAACCGATATATTCCACTTTAACACCAGACCTTAAATATAAATATTGAGATGTGTGAAATTTGAGGACAATCGGACTCTTACATCACATTTTATTAGAATTTTAATTATTTAAAACTTTGACCCTTTGTCAAAGTCGGTATCGCCAGATACCGAAAACAGTATTGTTTCCATGACTAAAAGTGGTTGTTCGACACACACAATTGCTGAGAAGCTGAAAATTAGTCAGTCAGTGGTGGTCAAGGTGAAAAAAAGACAAAATGTTTGTTCCGAAAGCGTGTTGAATGGTCGCCGCCGCCTTCTAACGGACTCTGATGCTCGACTTATGATGTCCAACATGGGGAAGGATAAGCTTTTAACACCAAAGGAGGTTTCTAAGGAGTTAAATAAAACCGTAAGTCGATGGACAGCTAGAAGAGCAGTGGGTAGAATTGGATATGTTGCCTCTGTTAAAAAAATAAACCAGCTTTATCCGAGAAAAATGTTAGAGCTCGGTTACAATTTGCAAAGACACACAAGAAGTGGACTATAGAAGACTGGAAACGTGTTATCTGGTCGGACGAATCCAAGTTTAACCGTTTCCAGTCGGATGGCAAGCAGTATTACTGGCATAGACCCGATGACAAGCTTCAGAGACATCATGTAAAGCAAACCGTAAAGCATGGAGGAGGAAGTATAATGGCTTGGGGGTGCTTCACATGGTGGCACGTTGGGTCGTTGCACAAAATTGATTGGATAATGCGAAAAGATGACTATTTAAATATTTTAAAAACCCGTCTTCACAATTTTCTCGATAAGAGTGCCTATCCCGAAGGAGAAATCACTTTCCAACAGGATGGGGATCCAAAGCACACAGCACAAAGCACAGCACAATTGTCAAAGAATAGTTAGCAAAACAAAATTTTAAGGTCATGGAGTGGCCAGCTCAAAGTCCCGACCTCAATCCAATTGAAAACTTATGGTCTATTGTGAAGCAACGGCTCGGCCAGTATCAATCGGAATTTGACGCAGAGCTTTAAAATTTGTCACAGTAGTTTGAGATATAATGGTCCTCGTTTTGGTATAGCCTCTTATAACGGTACCTCTCGATGGTCTATGTTTTGATGATTCTTACCACATTTTTCCACGGATTTGTCTAAAGATTGGTATCTGTAATTCGTAATAGGTTCTAACCCCTATGGCGGAACATAGTAAGTATAGGTCAACGTTTTCGTGTAGCCCCAACATAATGCTACCTACGGATATTCATTATTTTTATGATTTTGTCACATTTTTTACGGATTTGTCTAAAGATTGGTTTTTGTAGTTCGTTATGGGTTTTAGCTCCGGTGACAGAACATTGTATATAATGGTTCACGTTCACATATAACGCTAGTTCCCGAAATTCAGTACTTTGATGATTTTAGCCTCATTTTTTACAAATTTGTCTGGAAATTGGTATTTGTAGTTCGTAATGGGTTCTAGGTTCATTAGCAGAACATATCTAGGCCCACGTTTTCCGATAACGCACATATAACGATACCTTCGGATATTCGATACTTTGACGATTTAAGCCACATTTTCTAATAGATTTGTGTGAAATTTGGTATTTGTACTTCATAGCGGTGTCACAGCACCATGGTCAACGGTTTCTATACAACGGTTCGGTACTTGATATATATACCGATATTCGATATTTTGATAATCCTAGTCAACCTTTACTCACGAAATTTTGTCAAATTTGGTATTTAAGACTCGCAATAGATTCTTTGTAGTAGTAAATTGTACTTTTTCGTATGGCACCCATGTAACGGCTCCAACCACTATATTGTTTTTTGAAAACTCTACTGTTCTCTCCTACCGATATTATTGGAATTACTAGTTTTAAATGGAACAGGTTTGAATCCAGATACTTTTGTTTAAAAATGCATTCTTTACCTAATGGTGGAGGGTATTTATGGTTCGGTCCGGCCAAACTTTATGTCTTTTTACTTGTTTTCATCTTACAACGCTATGTGTTGGGGTATTATATTTAGGTCGCAAATATTGTCCGATCTTCACGAAATTTTGCATGGGGGTGGGGTAGGGATCAAAATGCAAGTCTTTTGTTTTGTAAGATGTTTGTAAAGTTTTTAGGATTTAAAATAGACCAAAAACCTAAATCATCCTACAGTTCTCAACTAAATACCAATAGACATACAATTTTCTGTGAGGGTAGATTTTAGAACTGTACTGAAGCCTAGAATTTTGCATGGTCATCGGATAATGTTTAGCTGGTGAAATGAACCTCAAAAGCGTGTGAAAAATGCCAAAATTAGTGGAAGACCAAAAAACATGAAGGTGCACATTTGACCTTTACGTTAAAACTTATTTTGTTGAACATAGCCAAATATCGGAGATTCATGAAATCATATAGAGGAATCTAAATTTTCGAATATTGTTTTAAAAATTAACAGGACATAGGGCATAAATGTAGAGCACATGCTTACAAGATTTTCACGAACTCGTGATTTCTGTCAAAAACCAAGATAAAACATTTTCACCGATTCCAATATAATTTGGCAAATGTATTTTTGTACCAAATTTCGTTACGCATTCAAATTCCATTACACATTCCAAATTTGAAGACTGCATCTATAAACGATCAATAGGTACGTGTATATAAAATATAAAATGGTATTTCAAAAATTAATATAGCTTATTGCTTTCATGCGATGTCATAATATATATCTAGAAATTTTCAGGAAAATCTGTTCAGCTGTTTTTTGGTCTATAAATTAAAAAAAAAAAAAAAAACAATCAAAAGTAAAAATATTTTCTTCTTTTGTAGATATGGATATGCGACAGTTTTTGTTAAAATTGAATAGAATCAATGCATATTTGCAAGCTATTAAGGAGATATAAGTACGTGAACGGTAGATATCGGCGTCAGATCTATGGTGAACAATGAAAATCTTAAAGTCGGGCCGACACCCCTTTGTAGTAGAGCTTCATGTAACAAAAAAAATATATATAGCAAATCGGATGAAAAATATATATGGGACCTATAGCTATATCTAAACCCATTTCGATCAAATTTGGCATACTTATTTCCAGCCTTAATTTGGTCGTATATGAACAATTCTATACTATTTGGGCTGATACTACACGTTTGGTGGACAATAAAAGGCAAATCGGACGAAGATATATATATTGGAGCTATATCTAAATTTTGACCAATTATCTCCAATTAGGGGTCGTTCTTGCGCTAAAAAAATGACTTATGCCAAATTTCATCTTGATCGGGCAATAAATGCGACCTGCACTTTGTTTACAAAAATACATGGACAGGCGGACATGCCTGTTACAAACAAATACACAAAGACATAAAACACTGCAATTGAAGAGAATCGGGTGCATATGTTGTTATTTTATGAGATATATAAATATTAACAATTTTGACCCTTTGTGAGAGAGGTAAGTACCTCTTACTACACATTCCGTATTCACAAATACTTTTGTGTTGAGAGAAATATTGAGATCTGCGGGGAATCGAATGCACATTTCCAATGTATCTGGCATAGCACTGATACAAATATTGAGATTTGGAAAGTTTGCACAAAATTAGATGACTCTTTCTTGTTTTATGAAGTAAATTATTTTGTGTCAAAATTTTGACCTTTTGTGAGGGAGGTATCAGAAGGAGCGGAACGATATTGACAATCTCCGAACTCGTTTTAAGTTTGACTTCTAGAAATATCGGGCGCAAGTGCGCATCCAATGTTTTACTATTTTGCGAGAATGGATAATTTCGACCCACTATTTCTTGTACCTCCCTCAAATAGGGTTCAAATTTTAAAAAATCATAACTCTTATAAAATATGCAATAAACGTTATGAGAATATTGACATACTTTAACGGCTGCAGAGTTTGAAGAAAACCCTTTAAAATACCGAAAATCAGGAGGTATCGTTAAATGGGGTCTATACCAAAAATGGATCTACATAAATATTTTATGGGAGCGCTTAAAATTCCCTTGAACTTGAAACGATAAATTACAGCCAATTCTGTTGGAAATTATCCGTAAGCGGATAATATTTTTCATGTTAAAAATAATTAATCGTCTACAACGCTGTGACTTATTAAAAACAAGTAAAAAAACATTAAGTTCGGCCGGGACAAACTTTTAATACCCTCCACCTTAGGGTAAAGGAAACATTAGAAGAAATGTGGCAAAAACCATTAAAATGCCGAATATCGGGAGGTACCGTTATATGGGGGCTATACCAAATCGTGGACCTACACATGCAATGTTTCGCCAAAGGAGCTAGAACCGATTATGACCTACATATACCAATTTTAAGACAAATCCGTGAAAAAAAAACGTGGACCTATAATTATAATGACTCGCCATACGAACTGGGACCCATTATAATCTACAACTACCAAATTTCAGAAAATTCTTGAAAAAATGTGTCAAAAATCATCAAAATACCGAATATTGGAAGATACCGTTATATGGGGATTATATTAAAACGTGTAACTATACAAACAATGTTTCGCCACACGAACTAGGACCCATTATGACCCACAAATACCAATTTTTAGACAAATCAGTGAAAAAATTTGGCAAAAACTATGAAAATATCGAATATTGGTAGGTACCGTTATATGGTGGCTATACCAAATCATGAACCCATCCATGCAATGTTTCGCCACCGGAGCTGGAACCCATTATGACCAACAAATACCAATTTTTAGACAAATCCGTGAAAAAATGTGGCAAAAATCATCAAATTACCGAATATCGGGAGGTACCTTTATATGGGGGCTATACCAAAACGTGGACCTATACATGCAATGTTTTGCAACACGCACAGGGACCCATTATGACCTATAAATACCAATTTTCAAACAAATCCGTTAAAAAATGTGGCAAAATCATCAAAATACCGAATATCGGGAGATACCGTTATATGAGGACTATACCAGAACGTGTACCGATATATCTCATTTTCAATACCAACCATCCTAGACACAATACAAATTGCCCTGCTAAATTTTGGCGCTCTACGTCAAATAATGTGGGCTGTATCGTGATTTCAACAGACGGACAGACAGACGGACATCGTTAAATCGACTTAGAATTTAATGATTATGAATATATATACTTTATGGGGTCTACGACGAATACTTAAGAATGTTACAAACGGAATGACAGAGTTAATATCCCCTCCTTTCCAAGGTGGAGGGTATAAAACTATATATATTCTTCAAGGAATATTGGTTTTATAGATGTTTTTTTTTTTTGTTTTTGCATTTTCGAATGACTATCACATTCACTTAAGAGAATCATTAAAAAATCCGAACTGTATTCCTGGATTCTCATAACTTTATTTTCTGTTAAAATACGGATATACGAAAATGGCTCCCCGTCTATCTCTCTCGTGGCACCCATTTATTTTCGCAATTTCCAATGAATCTTTAAAATTCTTAAAAATCTCCGTTTGCACCGATTCTGTAAAACGGCAATAACAATCGCCATGAAATGTTGTTGTACAGCTCAACGAGTTGCTTTAAATCGCAGCATTGCACTATCCGACTTACATTCTCGGTGTTCTTGTGCTACTTACCTCATAAACGGCACCCAGCGGCATTACAAGGCATGCAACGAAGAGATCTGCAACGGCCAGCGATGCCACCAAGTAATTAGCAACATTCTGCAAATGTCGTTCCAGGATGATGGCGGCTATCACAAAAACATTGCCTTTAAACACAAAGAAGGGGAACCGCAACACATGAAAGTGTGTGCAACGTGAGAATGCGATTTTTATTTGTGTGTGTGTGTATTCAACATTGGGTGCAGTCGATGCATGTGTTGGGTGAGGGTGTAGTGGTTGTATCCGTGTATGGAAGTTGGGTTTGTTGTCAGTGTTTTTAATCGTTGTTCGGTTGGATAGGCGGAGGCGGTGATGATGAAAAGTTTGATGGTGATGATGATGATGATGGTAATGATGATGACGATGGTGACGATGACGACAATGATGAAGGTGGCGGCGTTTTTGTTGTTTGTGTTGCCATGATGATGACGACATCGGCAGCATCGTTCAGCAAGGACAAGAACGAGGCCAAAGATAATATTTGTGAATGCAAGGCAAGGAAAGGCAAGGCAATGTGTGAAAGTATCAGTCAGCAATGTCACAGAGAGCCGCAACCAGCATCAATGTTAGTTCCGTTTACATTTAATACCAATGTGCGAGTGTATATTCGAGTTTTTTTCGGATTTCGTTTTTTTGTAGGTTGTTGTTGCACGAGATACAACACACATTCACACATTTATCCATTGAAGTTATTTTTTTTTGTTGGAAATAAAGTCGTCATGGAATCAACAGATGTCACATTACAACAAAAGTAGCAACAACACAATTTTGTGTTTTTTTGTACATGCCCAAATGACACAGAGACACAAATTAAATCCATTCGAATGTTGCAATGTCAGTGACCGTAAAAGAGAAAGAAGAAGAAAAAAGAGAATTGTTTGACATTAGTAAAAATTGCATGTATTAAATTGTTACAAATGCTGAAATATTAAAATTTAATTGTGAAATCCTATTGTTTAAAAGGTTTTGTGAGGAACTAAATGATGTTGGAAATTGGATATATTTTTTAATCAAATTTACATATGTCATTTTTTCCTTTACACCTAAAAATGCCTAAAAAGTCCTTTATGCCTAAAAAAATCTTTTTTCTGGATTGTTTTTACATTGGGTTAAAATTTAATTTCTTTATCATGAAAACTTTTTGTTGAAGCGATCAATTACTTGAGGAGCGACCACCCCTTCAATAGTGATAAAAAAATTTTAATAGAGCTCCAGCGGAATTCGAGTTTATTTTACATCAAACTAAATCAATTGCCATACATCGGTAACTATTACTTTCTCCTTTATTCGTCGTAAACACCAAATCGGATGAAACATATATATGGGAGCTATAGTTGTATCTAAACTGTTTTTCACCAAATTTAAAGTACTTAAGTCTAGGCTAAATGTGATCGGATGTGGCGAAATCTATCCCATTTTGGAGAATATTACGGTTTTTGCTATGGAAGGATCATTGAACTTTTTTATGAATCTGAGGCAGGTTAAGCGCAAACAGTAATCGTGAAATTATAACCAACTTTTTATACCCTAAATTATAGTATGGAGGGTACATTAAGTTTGTCATCCGTTTGTAAATAGACTTTTTAGACCCCACAACGTATATGTATTCTTTATAAGCATAAAATATGGTATTTGAAATTCGTAATGGATACTCCAGCCTATGACAGAAACATGTCTGGTCCACGTTTTGGTATAGCCCCCATATAATGATACCTCCCTATATTCGGGTTTTGATAATATTAGGAACATTATTCACAGTAATTGTTTTAAACTTGATATTCGAAATTCCTAATGGATACTCCAGTCTATGACGGAAAATTGTCTGTGCAAGTTCACTTTTTGGTATAGACCCCATATAATGGTACCTCCACATATTTCGCATTAGAATATTGTAGTGGCTTATGACAAAAGTTGCCTATGCAAGTTGCCACGTCGACGTATACCCTAATGTAATGGCACCATTCGATATTTTTAAGATTTTAACGGAGTTTTTTATATTTTTGAAAATTGCCAAATACGTTCTAAATGATGGAGGGTATACAAAGTTCGATCCGGCCAAACTAAGTGCTTTTTTACTTGTTTTGTTTGGGATTTTTTTTAAGTTGATGTTTTACGCGAATAAGCCGACGACGACTCAAGCCTTAAAAGAGGACATTTGACGCTGCATTTATGAACTACCGCAGCATTTATGAACTACCGCAGCATTTGTGGAAAACGGTCATTAAAAATTAAAAATGAAGATCGCGTGGGTGCATTCAACGTGGCTGCCATTTGTACGATATTTTGTTCCATACATAACCTCATTCTATCTACTTTACGATATAATAACATTTATCGATTTTTTAATATCTGTGTTTTATTTATAATTTAAAATTGTGTTCTAGTTGAGACATCGTTTATTTGGGAGCTATACAGGTTGAGATAAAAAAAAACTGCAACAAAGTCAAACACAATAATTCTCACATTTTTTTTTTAATTTTATTGAATGAAAAATCGGAAATAGCATCAAATTTTAGAATAAGTTCAGAATTGTTCAAATTTGCCACCTTTGCCACGAATTATGGCCTTCAAACGGCCAATGAAACCGTCACACGCTGCCCGAATGTTGCTTTGCGGTATTTTGACATATTCCCGGCAATATTCGGCATTTATTCTGATGCCACGGTCGATCAATACGAGCGGAGAGCAACCATCGGCTAATATGGTGGCCCACACCATCACCACGGCGGGCACTTGAGTTCTGGTGGCCTTTCGGCCAAGCGAAGCAACTCTTTAGCTCTTTTGAGGCTATTTTTTTCTGTTGCGGTGTAATTTCTTGTACTTTTTGGAATTTCTATGGCATTTTTCAATATTTGCCAAATGGAATATTGCGATATGTTCAGCTCACGAGCCATTTTTCGGCCACAGCGACGCGGGCTTCGATCAAGTAGCGCTACGCGGGCTACTCTACCGGTATCACGGTAACGATCGATGGTACGAGACACAAAAGATTTATTCACATTTAAAAGCTGGAGTACCTGATTTTCCAGCCAAATATAACACACACTATCACGCTTTAATTCCGTCACGAATAACATTTTTTTTTAGAAAATTGTCAACAAAATGCTTTTGTTCGCTTGTAAATAATATAATAACACTGGAATAATTTTAACAGCTGTCGGACGAATGGCTTAGAAATGACAACAGGCTGAAATTGGTTGCAGCTTTTTCATCTCACCCTGCATGGGCAGATAAATGGAATATAATATTAATGTAGAGAATTTAGTGACATCTTATTTGCATTATATTTCAGCTAACAATGTCCAGAATTAGAATATTGCGAAAATCAGTCAATTTTGTGTCATAAATTGTGAAATCTTAAAAATCATAATTTAAAGTATGAATTTAATAGATTGTGTTAGGCAATATGTGACAAACGTGTGGTTTAAATGTTAAAAAAAAACCTTTACTTTTGTCATTTTTATTAATAGTCTTTTATAGCATTAGTTTCTTTGTTAGACTACCTCCGTTCGGGAAGGCTTAATCTATTAACAGAACTACCATCATTCCCAACCAGTTTACCATTTGCCCACTCACTGTTAAGTACTGGAGTGTTAAAATAACATTCATACCTTAAGAGTGCTCTGCAAATATTAATTCAATCAATTTCCCATGAGAACTTCAGTAAATGTCGGCAATAAAAATTAAAAAAAAAAGAATAACAAGAACAAACGGTCTTAATTAATTTGCGCTGCTAGAACCATTTCAATACTTCTCTTATTATATTAAGTTTTTTGTTTCATTTGCTTTTGTTTTTTTGTTTTCCATCTTTTCAAATAAAGTTTGCTCATTTCCACAATGCCCATTATCATTTAAGTCGAGTCGAGTCGAGAGCAATGTTGCAATTCGCAGCAACTTAATAGTTACTGAGTTTCCGGCGCTCGAGTATCAATGGCAGTAATGACAGAAGGCGAGTGGCGGCAGCACACCAGCTCGATTGTTTAAACTTTTCCAAATCATTACAATGTTTAATTGCACAAATTGACTCGGCACAAACTTGGCGAAAATTCATTTAAATCGATTCCCATGGGGGAAGCAAGACATTTGGCCTTCGCTTTATATATTGGCAGTTAAGAAAACAACACCAAAAGGAAAAGCGCCAAATGATGATGACGGCGATGGTGGAGACGATTACGATGATGAAAGCAAATAAATTAGAGAAAAATAATTCGTTGACGCATTGCTGCAACAAAATTTTTGTAATTATTTCTGTCTTTGACTTCTGCCAGTGCAGTAGAATAAACAATATGGGTATCGATGCGATCAGAGGTGATCTTAATGTGGCACTTCATGGGAATGGAAAGGAAACCAATCTCGGAGATGTGACTATATAAAAAAAATCGAATAACCAACAACATTTTTTTTATTTTGATACAAAGTTAGGAATTGTAAGGAAAAGTCAAATATCGGGCGGGGCCGACTATATGATACCGCACACCACTAGGTATATTTAGTACATTCTAAATCGATTTTTCCCAAATATGACGGATACATTTTTATCTTTTATACCAAATAACATTGCTATGACATCACTTCGAGAAGGATTATATTAAAAACGTGTGTGTCGAACCCGAGCCAAATGGAAACTTACGTCTCGAAATGTACTTTATTTGGTCTGATATTAGCCATTATTTGCATATTAAGCATGAAATCGGATTAAGTATATATGGAAGCTACATCGAAATCCGAGCCGATCTCAATAAAATTTGGTAAAAGTATTCCCGAGCTCTATAAGATATCTGGTAAAAAAACAGCATTGCTGTGGAGGGTATATGAGAGACTAAAATAACAAATCGGATGAAACATATATATGGGAGCTATAGCTATATCTCAACAGATTTTCACCAAATTTGATATACTTGCTTCTTGACATAATTCGGTCGGAAGTGCTAAAATTCAGATTATTTGGACTGGTATTGGCCATTTGGTGAACTATTAATCCGAAAACGGTCGAAGATATCTATACCTAAAGTTAACCCGATTCTCACCAATTTCTATAAAGTTCGTCCTAGGGCCAATCAAATATTTTTTGGAAAATTTCATCTCAATCGGATAATAAACGCGACCC